TTACAAAAAAACATCCAATGAAACAAAAACAATCTTCGTGCAATAAACAAAAATACATCACAATTCTGGAAAAGCCAATGTAAAAAAAAAAATCTGTTTTTGAGATTTTTTTGTCCTGGAGACGGCATAACTCGTGGCCTTCTTGATGGGTCCAGGCAGTGCGTTCCATCGCTCCACCATGACGAGTGCCATAGAGCCACTCACCTCACACAACATCGTTTGGACGGAGGGTTCGTTGGTGGCCTCTATGACTTTTCCGGTAATGAAGTTGCAGCAGCAGCAGCAGCAGGAAAACTCCCATTGTGTGCACCCAGTTCGGCATTCGCTGCACCGTGAAGCAGTTGACGAATGTGCGGCCACTTTAATACGATGGAGCGTGCGCTATGCGCGGCACGGGGCGCGTTACAGGAGGTCGAGGACCCCCCCCCCCCTCTCCCCCCCCCCCCCCATAGCACCACTAATTGGCCAGGAGGTCCCTCAATTGTATCCGCACGGCAGTGCCGCTTGCGCGACACGAGGATGGGAAATGTCGACCAGAAAAAAAGCCACGCAGACTCGGCCCGTGCGAGGGGCATCGCTCGATCACGCGCGCAGTCACAAGTGCGTGTGAGGAGGGGGGTTCTGTGTTGGTTCTTTTGCTTTGCTGAAGTCATCCCTTCTCCGGTTGCGGCAAAAGCAGCAGCAGCAGCAGACGACGCAGACCCCCCACGTCGAAGGACCTCATTCGGCACACATTAGGGGCACTGATGACTTCTCAAATATTAGTTTTGGACGCTGGCATGAAGGTATTCGCGCACAATAAACAGAAGCAAGGGAGTCGGTGCGTAGCAACTCGCCGACTAAGTGCCACATTGCGAAGGCAAAAATCAGCCAGAAAGCATTCAAGGGTAAAAAGATCTGCACATAATGCCACCATTTAAGCGCCCTGTTCACTAGTAAAGCACCACTCTATTTATAACCTATTAACCAAGAGTCTGTGCATAGAGCTCTGGGGATACAGTGAATGTGTGGCGTGGGTATGGATTGCAATTTATTTCTTAATTAATCGCTGAACATATCAACATTTGCACGAGTGGCAACATGTTGGGGACCATTAAGACAATTAACTTGCAAACATCATCACTTTCCCCGCACCTCCGATTAGCACAGTTGACTACGTACCGTGCGAAAGAAGTTCAACATACATACATTTTCCTTAGAACGTGATGATTTCAGAACAGGGCAACTAAAATGTTGGAATTTACAAGTGTTTACACCGCAATTTACTCTCTCAATTTCTCCTCCCTCTGTTGTCCTCCGTATGTTCTCTCTCAGCCCCCCCGCCCCCGCACCCTCCCTCGTGAGGCGCGTTCCACTTGTTTTATTCGCACGAAATCATTATAATCAGCCAAGGTTGCCACACGAACAAGCGTGCCGATTGACGACTCTGCTTTAAGCGCGCAGGTGTGTTGGTGAGTCACGTGTCAACGTTCACGTGGGTACGACGTTTCGCTGCTAGCCGCACCCAGCGTCGACGGGCAGTGGCCGGAATTGCTTGTTTGTTCAAATTGGCACGTTCGTTCGCGCGACAACTTTAGTCACCGGCTGTGTGGCGTGGAGGAGGGTTTTATGGCACGCATTTTTTTATTTACGCGACTTGATCCCAAAAAAAAAAACCGACGTGTAACGTTCACAAAATAATCATTTGAGTGGTCGTTGAGAATATAAGTGACACGATAAATAAGCAGCTACTATCCCTTGTTCCCATCTGTCCCTCCACGTAAACAATCTAAGTACAGTGAGGGAAAAAAGTATTTGATCCCCTGCTGATTTTGAACGTTTGCCCACTGACAAAGAAATGTTCAGTCTATAATTTTAATGGTAGGTTTATTTGAACAGTGAGAGACAGAATAACAACAAAATCCAGAAAAACGCATGTCAAAAATGTTATAAATTGATTTGAATTTTAATGAGGGAAACAAGTATTTGACCCATCTGCAAAACATGACTTAGTACTTGGTGGCAAAACCCTTGTTGGCAATCACAGAGGTCAGACGTTTCTTGTAGTTGGCCACCAGGTTTGCACACATCTCAGGAGGGATTTTGTCCCACTCCTCTTTGCAGACCTTCTCCAAGTCATTAAAGTTTCGAGGCTGACGTTTGGCAACTCGAACCTTCAGCACCCTCCACAGATTTTCCATGGGATTAAGGTCTGGAGACTGGCTAGGCCACTCCAGGACCTTAATGTGCTTCTTCTTGAGCCACTCCTTTGTTGCCTTGGCCGTGTGTTTTGGGTCATTGTCATGCTGGAATACCCATCCACGACCCATTTTCAATGCCCTGGCTGAGGGAAGGAGGTTCTCACCCAAGATTTGACGGTACATGGCCCCGTTCATCCTCCCTTTGATGCTGTGAAGTTGTCCTGTCCCCTTAGCAGAAAAACACCCCCAAAGCATAATGTTTCCACCTCCATGTTTGACGGTGGGGATGGCGTTCTTGGGGTCATAGGCAGCATTCCTCCTCCTCCAAACACGGCGAGTTGAGTTGATGCCAAAGAACTCCATTTTGGTCTCATCTGACCACAACACTTTCACCCAGTTGTCCTCTGAATCATTCAGATGTTCATTGGCAAACTTTAGACGGGCATGTATATGTGCTTTCTTGAGCAGGGGGACCTTGCGGGTGCTGCAGGATTTTCGTCCTTCACGGCATAGTGTGTTACCAATTGTTTTCTTGGTGACTATGGTCCCAGCTGCCTTGAGATCATTGACAAGATCCTCCCGTGTAGTTCTGGGCTGATTCCTCACCGTTCTTATGATCATTGCAACTCCACGAGGTGAGATCTTGCATGGAGCCCCAGGCCGAGGGAGATTGACAGTTCTTTTGTGTTTCTTCCATATGCGAATAATCGCACCAACTGTTGTCACCTTCTCACCAAGCTGCTTGGCAATGGTCTTGTAGCCCATTCCAGCCTTGTGTATGTCTACAATCTTGTCCCTGAACACTTAGAGAGCTCTTTGGTCGTGGCCATGGTGGAGAGTTTGGAATCTGATTGATTGATCGCTTCTGTGGACAGGTGTCTTTTATACAGGTAACAAGCTGAGATTAGGAGCACTCCCTTTAAGAGTGTGCTCCTAATCTCAGCTCGTTACCTGTATAAAAGACACCTGGGAGCCAGAAACCTTTCTGATTGAGAGGGGGTCAAATACTTATTTCCCTCATTAAAATGCAAATCAATTTATAACATTTTTGACATGTGTTTTTCTGGATTTTTTTGTTGTTATTCTGTCTCTCACTGTTCAAATAAACCTACCATTAAAATTATCGACTGATCATTTCTTCGTCAGTGGGCAAACGTACAAAATCAGCAGGGGATCAAATACTTTTTTCCCTCACTGTATTTGTTACACATCCCATCAGTCGCAGAGCCTGCTGGGAAAGCCATAATTTCAACAGCAATGTTCCAACACAAGCAAACTTCGGATCGGTTTTAACATTCAACGTCTCATCAGAAGAGTCAGGATTCCTTGAACCAATGCTGGTAAAATGCCAGATGTTTATAGGCAAGGACCCTCTCTGTTAGATATGGGTTCTTGTTCAATGTAAAATCATATACATCACAACCGAAGATGACTGTGGATCATGTTTATTTTCTTATTGACCTCTATTTTTCTCTATTATTTGGTCCTGAAGTGTTGTTGCAAATCACAAATATATATTTAATAATTGCAAATGTTTGCAAAATACAACAAAACTACCAATAGTGCAAATAACCTGCATAATTTAAGACATTGTTTAAATAAATAAATACCTTTCCCCCCCCCCCACATTTTTTAATGTTCTAGGCTGTGAAATTATGATACTCTACCATACACACCTTCGGTCAAATTACCTTGCAGCCTTCCTGCACCATAGTTTCATTAAACGAGTCGGGAAGATCGCCTAACGCATATCTAGTACCCATGGAAATGTTATTTGATCTCCAAATGATGTCCTTTACTGTGCGTAGCCAATTCAGCAACAATGCCAGTCAAGTTGAATCTGAAATTTGTGGAAATGGGGTATTTCATGACCTTCAATAGTTTTTTTTTATTAAAATATCTGGGATATGTGAGGACATAAGGTGATTCATGGTCACAGCCAATAGCTCAAAATGTATAGAGCGCCTTAAAGAATCACAATATCTCTACAAGTGGGAAGGCCTTTCAGACATATTCCCCGCCCAATTTGGTTCATCCTCATATTTTTTTCCAAGAATACCAAAATTCACAGAATATAGATACATACATTTGCTTGGTTTCATCCTGTCTAAACGCCAACTCCATAACCACCGACCTTAGCTTCACGTTTGAGCATCTCGAAGCGGGGGGCTCTGCCGGAGACGCGCGCACGCGACACTCACGGTTAACCGTCGTTAACAGATGGCCGTCAAAAGTAATTGGCTCGGGACAGCGGCACGCTCGGCCGACGGGGTCAAAAAATACCGCCCGCGGAAGCCGCACGGGGGAAACGAGGATCGCGTGGGGAGCGGAGGAAGTGTCGGCGATGATTAAGTTGCGTGCGTTTCAAAACAGAGACGCCAAAGAATTACACGAGAGTTATGGCGTACACGGGGGGGGGTGGGGGGGGGGGTTCCTCAGAATCTGCCAAGGGGCTTGTACGGCCGTCCGAAATCTGCGCTGTCACGTGACCATAAATGACAGTTTGCCGTTAGCGAGCGCGACGGACTCTGCCACAATGTGGCGTGGCTCGAACGATCGTTCGAGTGTATCAAATGCAATCGAGATTTCACGCTAACGATTTCGGCAAATAATAATCTTTTGTCACGTTCGCATCCAGGCTCGAAAAGGATGAGAAAAATGAACGTGACAAATGTCAAACTTGGATTAAAAATGATGAAATCTGATATGTGCAGTGTTGTATGTTCATGCACTTGCAATTTATGAGGCTATAATACATTTCTTAAAATAAATGAAGTGTTACAATAACTCACTTTTCTGAACATTTCATTTCTTTTTCAGATCAAACCAAATACGGACAGTAATTCCTTAAAATAGCTGCGTGCTGCTACACCGAAGCTTTCTCTCTTACCTCGATCTGAAACGTCAGTTCAATAAATTCAACTGCGAAGACTAGACATTTTAAAAGCAGCGTCCTTCAAACCATCGTTGAACAGACTAATAACGTGAACCCGGGCGCAAAGAACTTTGAAAATAACCGAGCGATGAAAGACCAAACAGCCATCGAGTGACAAGCATGGAGATGTGTCTATGTCGCAAATGCTATTCACGTGCAGTGGGACGACTCAGCGATGCTCTAGAGTCTGCAGGCCAGCGTCGCTGTCGCCAGCATCACGCCGTTCCATTCTGACGCAGCTCGACTGCTATGGAGGACACTGAGCGGGAGTCCACCGACACCATGTCCGCCGACTTTTTGAAGAACCTCTCGGACCCTCTGCTGGACCACGCCATCGCCGGCAACGACCCACTCGGCGGACACACGGTGCTCGAGGTGATCGTCATCGGCACGCTGACCGGCATCGTCAGCCTCCTGACCATCGTGGGTAACATTCTGGTTATGGTGGCCTTCAAGGTCAACCGACAGCTCAAGACGGTCAACAACTACTTCCTGCTCAGCCTCGCCGTTGCCGACCTCATCATCGGCGTGGTCTCCATGAACCTTTACACAACCTACATCATCATGAGCCGCTGGGCTCTGGGCCAGGCCGCGTGTGACCTGTGGCTGGTGGTGGACTACGTGGCGAGCAACGCGTCCGTCATGAACCTGCTGGTCATCAGCTTCGACCGTTACCTGTCCATCACGCGCCCGCTCAAGTACAAGGCGAAGCGAACGACCAAGCGCGTGGCCCTCATGATCGGCCTCGCGTGGGTCGTCTCACTCGTGCTCTGGGGCCCGGCCATCCTCTTCTGGCAGTATGTCGACGGCAAGCGCACCGTGCCGGACAACGAGTGCTTCATCCAGTTCCTGTCCGTGCCGGCGATCACCTTCGGCACGGCTATCGCCGCATTCTACCTGCCCGTGACCATCATGATGGTGCTCTACTGGCGCATCTACCTGGAGACGCAGAAGAGGACGCGGGAGCTCGCCGGGCTGCAGGGCTCTCAGTTCGAGTCCAGCAGCCGCATCCTCACACAGCCTGGCAGCTCGCGCCAGTCGAGCACGGCCGAGGGGACGGCCACGGACGCGGACCCCGCCCAGCCGGTACAAGTCAAGCGGCCCTCCAAGTATGGCCTGCTCAAGGTAAACCCTTCGTCATTATCATCATCATAGTAATTATTATTAAACGGTGTGCAGGAGGTCGTCGGCTCGATCCCGACCCTGACGACCCCGATATTTGGAGTTTGCGTGTCTCTCTCCCCGTGGTCGCGTGGATTTTTCTCCGGGTCCTCCGATTTTTCCCCTCCACATTTTAGAAACATGTGTTGAGACTATTTTGCTGTGATACATTTCCACATGATAAGTAAGCCACTTCGTTGAGCTATCATTTGTTGCCAGGTTGCTTTGTCTCTGAAAAAGAGCTATATAGCTCAGTGGGCCTTACCTGGTAGAGTGAAAATAGTTTAGTTTAGTGATAATTATTAATCGTTTTTGATTGAGCGTCATCTACTATGGGATATGTCTCATAGCGCTAACAAGCGGTAAGCAACTTATTTCCCATCTCATCTCCAACATTTGGCGGGGGTGCCTTGCCTCAGTGCCTGGCCTGCAAATGGGCATTTTTCTGCCGGTAGGGGGCAATGATTACGATGTATAATCCGAAATTGAGTAAATTGCAGCATGAGTTTGGTTGCTACATCTGAGGACATTTATATATGTATCAAGGATGTAGAATATCTGAATATATCGGAAAATACAGTTTAAAAATTGCGATGATTAACGTGATCTGGGGAAGGCATTCATTTCATTGGTGGATAGATTATGGCTTTGATTAGAGTTGTCACTTGTCCTGGTTTCTCCAGAGTGATCCTTTTTTCAATTAGATGTCCTCCTAGGACATTACATAACACCAATACCAGAAGAGGGGATAACTACATGTTAACGCATTGTCTTGCGTTGTGTATTATAATAATTGTTATGATTACTACGATGCAAATTACAACCAACGGGACTTTCAATGTCGGCTTCTGCAGTGGAATAACAACCTGGTCCCTCCTGAGCTGCATCGGCCTCGCTCAGCAAGGATCAGGCTCGGCCCGGTTGTCCAGTGGAAAATAAATATTGTGGGCCACCAGCAGTGTCAGTATGCGATATGAAAAAAAATCATAATAATCCCCAACTTCTCTATTCCAAACCTCCCCCTCCGACCCGTCTTTCACAGCGAGTGAAGTCCATAAAATCGCGGGATGGCCGGGACCGAGCGCGCAAAGTGAACTGGAACAGCGTGCGCGAGGGAGACCCCTCGCCCATCCATTCCCTCTGCTCCGACGAAGACGACGACCCTCCGCCACAGAGGCCCAAGGCCATCTTCTCCATTGTGCTCACGTTCCCCGGCCACAAGGCCATGCTGCACTCGCCAGAGCCGTCGGACGAGGAGGACACGGACGAGGAGCGCAGGACGCGGGGTGCTCGCGTGGCCATGTCCATCGCGAGCAAGATGATCGCAGCTTCCGCCATCGCCGCCAAGGTGCCCGCCGCAAATGCCGCGAACGCCACGGGCAACGCCAACTCCAAGAACGCCAACGCGGCCGTGGGCCCCGAGAAAACGAATGGAAAGTGCGAGAAGGACGGCAGCGCCGCCGATGCCGCAGCCGCAGCCGCCACCACGACTGTCGCCAACGACTCGGATGCCGCCGCCGCCACCACCACTTCCGGTGCCACGACTGGCGCCGTCGTGGCCGCCAACGGCCACGACGGCGCCATCGCCTCGCCGGCGGCGAACGCCACCGCCGTCGCCGCCACCGCCAACGCCACCGCCACACGCGACGATCGAACGGAAGCCAACGTGGACAACTGCACGCAGCAGCAGCAGCTGCAGCTGCAGGGAGCGACAGGGGCCGAGTCCCCGGACGGGGACGACACAGCCGCCCCGCCGGCCAACCCGGACAAAGCGGCGAGCGACGCGGAGAGCGCCCCCCCGGTGCGGCTGCCCGGAGGCATCACTCTGAAGGAGGCGGTGGTGGCCAAGCAGTTTGCGGCGAAGGCCCGGAGCCGCATCACCAAGCGGAAGCGCATCACGCTCATCAAGGAGAAGAAGGCAGCCAAGACTCTGAGCGCCATTCTGCTGGCCTTCATCATCACCTGGCTGCCGTACAACATCATGGTGCTGGTGTCGACGTTCTGCGACAACTGCATCCCGAAGGTTTGGTGGCGCCTCGGATACTGGCTCTGCTACGTCAACAGCACCGTCAACCCGATGTGCTACGCGCTGTGCAACAAGACCTTCCGAAAGACTTTCAAATGGATACTTCTGTGTCAGTGGGAGCGCTGGAAGACGCAGGGTTACCTATTCCCGCACATGCAATCCATCATTACTGGCAAAAGATCAGCCACCAATGGTAACAGATAGGTGCCCCTGGCCGTAACTTGATGTAGTGTTATGCCCCTTTTTTGTGTGCAATGGAAAAAAAAGTATATATATAAAAAGAAAAAAATACGTGGCAAAATATGAATGCATACTTATACATATGCACAGTATAAGCCATGTCAGGTTTATTTTTTTGTGTGTTCACACAGTAATATGTTGCCTTTGTCCCGTTTCAAAATGACACCGGTATATATTGTACAATGTAAACTATCGTTCGAAGAATAAGAAAAAAAAATGGAAAAAAAAGTGTGAAAAATCACTTCCATACAATGTTGTGCTGATATGAAGTGGTACATTTTGTACATGGTTCATATTAAAATGTTTAAATGGAACTCTGCGTCTCGTCTAACGATGATTTGATTTTAATTAGGGCATTCATGCGTCTCTCCATTAAAATCCAATACACGCACCGTCAGTGACTGCAGCAGCTTGAATAATTTTGTCCAATCAATTTTCGGGCAGAGAACTGTAGATGGGCAGTGGTGGCCACGCTACACGTGGGCCGTAGTCCAACCACGTGGAGGAGGCAACGAGGGTTGGTGGATCACCGGGGCAGACGTTGCAAAACTCCATCCTAGCTGGTGCAATACCCTGGATGGCCAGGAGAAGGCAGTACAGCAAGTGGGCACTAATTTTCATCTGTGTGTGTGTGTGGACAGAGGCGTTGGCCGCCGAAAAATTAGTGGGGTTATCTCTGGGTGCGCCTGTGTCATGAAACTTGTATGAACACTCGTTACATTGGCCGGATATATCTGCGTGAATTTTGCAGCTCAGTGCCCGCGGATTGTGCGACGTTGAGATATGCAGTTTGAACGATGCGACGCCCTTCAAAAAAGGCTTGTTATTATAATTGTCATCAAAGTTTCTCACGGGATACTGGATCGTGGCCGTGGCGGTTAAGGCACCTCGTGTATATATATGTATTGCACGATCAAATTGAGGCGACTGGAACATTGCAGGCATACTCGCACGCTTCCTATTAAGCAAGATCGCACGGGGCACGCCGCACGGATTAGTGGCAGCAATCTGCCCCTGGAGGGACACATCACTCCGCCCCACCCCAGCTCATTCCCTCCTGATCACATGTTCCAGGCTCATTATGACTTCGCGCACACGGCCTAATTTGCTTCCTCGCACACGATCACCGCACAAGCTCAGACCGACCGTCTTCTCTCAAGGCCTCCAGTCGACCTCCACTCAATGGGAGGTCGCCGCTTCCCCTGGCTGCCTCCTCTGGGATTCAACTCCGTCCACCTGGTGGGGCCACCTCGTGGACCCCCCTGCCCTTATCCGTCACCATTAAATGCGCATGTACGTTTGTTTGTGTGCCCAACGTGGTACACCATGCTTTATTTCGTTCACTGCCCCCTGTAATAATAGCTCATTTTACGCAAGCAAAGTGTCATTCACGGTCCTATTGTGCACAATCTTCTATCCGTAACCCATGCAACCTGCGCTGGATATGACCAGTTGACCACCCTCCCCAACCTCCGTTTGAAGGGACCTGTCCACACACTCCCTCGATCGCACAGTGCCACGAGATACATTTCTATTCGGCTGCCGAGCGAATCCACATTTGTACGATATGTGTTTAACGTGGTGCTTATTCTACACGTGGTGTGAGATTTTGGGGGGGGGGGGGGGGGTGTGCAAGGCGGGGGCTCCCTCTGAACGCAACGCGTCAACGCGGACGAGGCGTGCAGCTCGACGCACGTGCACCGGCTCCGGCACACCGTAATCACGTTCCATTGTCAACGCTCTTCAATTGTCAACGCTCGTCCCAAAGAACGCATAACGTCGTGAGATAATTATTGCAATTTGATGTCCACATCACAAACCCATCGACAGTACATTCTAACAGAACAAAACTCAGATTCAAACATGGTTTTGGCAGTCAACCCGCGTCAGTATTAATCACCACCATAGCCATCATTGGTCATGTTTGATTAACTGCTGGATGAAGGACTCCACAAGCTGCGTCGATCCGTCATGGCCCTGCACACAAGCTGATTTCATCACTCCATCTCCTCGGTTGGACTTGCTCTCAGACGCTGATGGCTAACATCAGTGGCGAGTGATATATGTCACCTCACACTCTCGAGCATGGCGCAGCATCATCAAACATCTCCCATGACCAACAAAGCCCCCTTCCCAACAGCGGGTTGACAAAACAGGTTCGAGTGATTTCCTACTCAAACGAGCATTGAGGCGGTGCTCATCGCGTGTCTACAAACCCGAGCCAGTGGTGGAAATTACAGATTCCTATGGGGGTGATAGGTTGATCCAGAAAAAAAAACAACCCAACACTCTTTTCTTCTCCGCAGTGGAACAAATTTTATCGACCCAAGGGACGATGGGCTGTCTCAACTCCCCAACCAGGGAATTCAACTCCTGACCGTCACATTGCGAGCACCGGGGGCGGACGCTTCCGCTGCATTGCATATCCTAGGAGAAACAGAGATACACGGCGAGTATATATATATACACACATTACTTTTAATACCATAAATACAACGCAATTGGCACGAGTGAGCTGCTATTCATCACGTTATGTCCCTTGCGGGGGGAGAGGGTGGCCTTATAACCATAATACAGCCGCAGTGCTGCCGAGTCAAATTGCGGAGATCAGTGCGGCCAAGAGGTGTCCAGCGATATCGACCGCGCGGATGGTTAATGTGCGACTCCATCCACACAATTTCTGACTCGGAACATGAGCCGGGCTGCTTAATGCGTCGCCACGCACCCCGGGAGTTATTTATTTATCCATCCACCCACCTCCTTATTTATTCTTCGCGGGGAAAGGGGAACATATTGACCCCCGCGCGACGAATGTGCAGCACGCGATGATGTATGTTAAGCTCCACGTTTTCCCGAATGTGTTTTTATTTCTTTGGTTACTTTGGCATGTCTATGGGACAATTCGGCCGGAGGCTTCAAGCAGCTTGTCCACGGCCCTTTCGAATGCACTGGGCAGGGGCCATTCATGGCAGATGCTCTAAATAACGATGCTGCCTCGGTGTAATAGTAATTACACCGGACTTGCAATAGAGAGGTTGCCAATTCAATTTGATGGCTTGTATGACATTGGAAATAATGGTGCACATTTCTTAAATATTCCCCCCCCCCCACCACCAGCCTCTGTCCACCCAGCAGCATAATTAGGTACACCACAGTTCGTCGTTCGGCTGGTCACGTGCAGTGGCGTGAAGTTGGGGTACTCCGGCATCTTCCAAGACGTGTGGCCAGTGTGGAAGAGCAGGCCAGATGCCCTCTAAAGGGGCCCTCTAGAGCTCCCGCGAGTGGAGGCCTTTACACCAGTAGCGCTTGCGCAAGCAATAGCTCTCAAGTTTCGAGATTACGACGTACATCGCATGTGACCCGCCCCTACTGGACATCTGTGAAATAGAGCTTCATAGCTCATTGAATATCTGCAGGATAAATACAGATTCTGATTCTGATACCCTCACAACAGCAGCAGCACAAATTCTCATGCATTTCACACGTGTAAGAAATTGGTCACTTGTTAAAGTAAAACCTCATCCGGCATGCAAGGATGCTCACGATAGACGTGTCAGAATCGTGCCCACGAATATATGAGAATCAATTATTTCTGAGCTATGCAAATTATTCAGGCTAATGGAGCTAATAAAAAAATACGTGAAAGAGACAGAGAAAGAAAAAAATAGTGACAGTAAAAATTAAGGGAGTAATAAAAAAAGAGAGAATTGTGAAGCTGAAACAATAAATGATCAAATCGCTGAAAAGACCAGTCACAGCCACACCAATTCAGCTCCCCCCCCACATCCCAACTAATGTTGGTCTCATGTCGTCATGAGTTCCGACAATCGGTCGATTGAGTTAAAAGTAAAGAAAATTGTAATCGGCTACTTTTTGTGGTCAATTACTCGGGCCCCTTTAAAAACGGAAGCTCCTGAAGGCAGGAAACCCCCTACAAGCCACGCCCATCGTGACCCGGCTGCGGACAATGTCGACATCACTAGGGCCTGCCCATCACCCTCAGTTCGACGACACAAGTGGGATGGGACACGAGCCTTTTTCCACTCAACTATTTTATGATTTATCAATTTGACAAAAAAAATTCTGAGCTGCAAGGTGATCATAAGGTGCCAGCACAGCAAGTGGTTTTGTAAAAACCCATCTGTGCAGAGCCTTGTGTTATCGGTCACTGCATCACACACTTGCAGATGCGCTTCTGCGGCCGTCTGGAACGCTCTTCCTTCCGATATTAGGAAGCCGCTGGGACCTATGCACTTTTAAATTTAGATTGAAAACTCATTTCTTTAGAACTGCTTTTTATGTTTAGTTTGTTGTCCTTCCCCCTGCACCTCCGATTAGCGCGGTTGGCTAAAGTAAGGTGCAAAAGAAGTTCAACATACATTCTTGATATAGTAATAGGTTTTACCCTTTTAACTGGCACAAAAACTGACACCTTTATTCAAGGTATCATGTTTGCAATAACCACAACACAAGCAGTCAAAATGCAAACAAAAGAGACAACTGATAATATGCACTGTCCTTGAATTTGATTGGTCCACTCCCGAGACGGCTTTTCTTAGAGCCTAGTCTCCACTGGTGTTGGACCAGATGACGCCAAAAGGCGTAAATACATACTTGACTTTGTGTGCGTGCATTTGCTATGGGTACACACTACGGTTTCCTCGCCACGTGCCAAACACTCAGTTATGGGATTGGCTAAACATCATAAATCAAGACCCTCCAAATAAGTGTCATGAGACATCCAGAGGCTTTCCAGGACTAATAATCTAAAATAATCATTAGTTTGGTGCGTATTACCGCTAATATGGATTTCATCGGTGGTGCAATGGTTTGCGCATTGTACTATGAACCCAGTGGTCTTAGTATGGTCAATGATATAACATTTACATTTACTTATTTATCCAAGAAAGCCACGCCGAGTCGTCATACTCATTTTCAGGACCGTCCTGCTACATTGGGTTTTTGTTTTGAGATGTTTTCAGCCAAGTCATGAGTGTTCATACAAGTAAGTGGAACCCAGAGGACCAGGAGAAAACCCCACGCCTTGCACCAGAGGACATCGAGATCCCCACACAGATGGCAACAGATGGAGATGAGTCCACTTGCCGTACTCCTTCCCCTTAGCGAGCCCGGGGATGGTACCTCCTCCAACGGCCACAGGAAGGGAATTCCATAACGTCTGTGTGTGATCCACCAACCCTTGCTGCCTCTGCAGTGCTGGATTGCAGGTCACGTGCAGAATAGCCACCACCGCCCGGCTATCCACCGGTGAACTGACAAAGGGCCGGGTTGTTCACCGTGCAGCAACCGATTT